ATGAAGTCAGTTACAGTAAACGATTAATTATGTTATTTATTATATACTTCAGTGTGAAATTGTGAGTTTTCTGAAGTTGAGAAAAGTCCTTTATACGTTAGTTCCACGTTGACAAGGCAAAATAATGACAGATAGTCAAGTTAATATCTCTTCCCTCTTCTTTAACTCGTCACTCAATCAAGACTGTTTGTTTCACAAAGGGCCATTTTGGTTACTTGACCCATGTGTATTCTTTTGCTTCCAACAGCAGTCTCGTAGTTTTCAAGGATATTTTTTTTGTTAAAGTTGATTTGATCTATAATCATATCAAAATGTATGATCCTAAATATTTTTCAGACTTTTTTATGATTTGCAAACACAAAACGACTTACTAAGTCCCAAATACAAGGGAATGAGATCCATCCCTCTGCCTTAGGAAGGGAGAATTTTCGTCTTAAGGTTTTACATTTGTATTTAAATAATTTAATTTTCCGGTAGACAACTGCACAAAAAATAGGTTATGATAGATAGGATATATTCCATGTGTCTTGCGAAATATCCCGTTTCTCTCATCGAGTGACAGGGAAAGGATATGTTTTCACAATTGGTGTAGCCACGAGGGAAAATATCTCCTTTACCACCGTCACTCGATGAGAGAAAGTGGATATTTCACTCGATACATGAAATATCCTCTATGGAATGCATCAATACAATTACTCAAACACAACTTTGTGATCTAAATACCTTTCTTCCTTTTCACAATCATGATTGTTTGCACCTTGGTTATGCTGTGATTGGTTGTGAACACATCCCCATACTCTGACTTATTGATGACAGTGACAGGTCACCTTATGTGACTTATTGTTGACAGTAGGTCACCTTACTCTGATATATTGTTGACAGTAGGTCACCTTACTCTGATATATTGATGACAGTGACAGGTCACCTTACTCTGATATATTGATGACAGTGACAGGTCCCCACGTTGTGACTTATTGTTGACAGTAGGTCACCTTACTGTGACTTATTGTTGACAGTGACAGGTCACCTTACTGTGACTTATTGATGACAACAGGTCACCTTACTGTGACTTATTGTTGACAGTAGGTCACCTTACTCTGATATATTGTTGACAGTAGGTCACCTTACTCTGATATATTGATGACAGTGACAGGTCACCATACTCTGATATATTGATGACAGTAACAGGTCCCCTCGTTGTGACTTATTGTTGACAGTAGGTCACCTTACTGTGACTTATTGTTGACAGACAACAGGTCACCTTACTGTGACTTATTGATGACAGTGACAGGTTACCTCACCGTGACTTATTGATGACAACAGGTCACCTTACTGTGACTTTGTGATGACAGTAGGTCACCTTACTCTGACTTATTGATGACAGTGACAGGTCACCTCACCGTGACTTATTATTGACAGTAGGTCACCTTACTCTGATATATTGATGACAGTGACAGGTCACCTCACTGTGACTTATTGTTGACAGTAGGTCACCTTACTGTGACTTATTGTTGACAGTGACAGGTCACCTCACTGTGACTTATTGTTGACAGTGACAGGTCACCTCACTGTGACTTATTGTTGACAGTGACGGGTCACCTCACTGTGACTTATTCTTGACAGTAGGTCACCTTACTGTGACTTATTGATGACAGTGACAGGTCTCCTTACTCTATATATTGATGACAGTGACAGATCACCTTACTCTGACTTATTGTTGACAGTGACAGGTCACCTCACTGTGACTTATTGTTGACAGTAGGTCACCTTACTGTGACTTCTTGATGACAGTGACAGGTCACCTCACTGTGACTTATTGTTGACAGTGACAGGTCACCTCACTGTGACTTATTGTTGACAGTGACGGGTCACCTCACTGTGACTTATTGTTGACAGTAGGGCACCTTACTGTGACTTCTTGATGACAGTGACAGGTCACCTCACTGTGACTTATTGTTGACAGTAGGTCACCTTACTGTGACTTATTGATGACAGTGACAGGTCACCTCACTGTGACTTATTGGTGACAGTGACAGGTCACCTCACTGTGACTTATTGATGACAGTGACAGGTCACCTTACCCTGATATATTGTTGACAGTGACAGGTCACCTCACTCTGACTCATTGTTGACAGTAGGTCACCTCATTGTGACTGATTGATGACAGTGACAGGTCACCTCACTGTGACTTATTGATGACAGTGACAGGTCACCTTACTCTGATATATTGATGACAGTGACGGGTCACCTCACCGTGACTTATTGTTGACAGTGACAGGTCACCTTACTGTGACCTATTGATGACAGTGACAGGTCACATCAATGTGTCTTATTGATGACAGTGACAGGTCACATCACTGTGACTTTTTGATGACAGTGACACGTCACCTCACTGTGACTTATTGATGACAGTGACAGGTCACCTTACTCTGATATATTGATGACAGTGACAGGTCACCTTACTCTGATATATTGATGACAGTGACAGGTCACCTCACTGTGACTTATTGATTACAGTGACAGGTCACCTTACTGTGACTTATTGTTGACAGTAGGTCACCTTACTGTGACTTTTTGATGACAGTGACAGGTCACCTCACTGTGACTTATTGATGACAGTGACAGGTCACCTCACTGTGACTTATTGATTACAGTGACAGGTCACCTTACTGTGACTTATTGTTGACAGTAGGTCACCTTACTGTGACTTATTGATGACAGTGACAGGTCACCTCACTGTGACTTATTGGTGACAGTGACAGGTCACCTCACTGTGACTTATTGATGACAGTGACAGGTCACCTTACTCTGATATATTGTTGACAGTGACAGGTCACCTCACTCTGACTCATTGTTGACAGTAGGTCACCTCATTGTGACTGATTGATGACAGTGACAGGTCACCTCACTGTGACTTATTGGTGACAGTGACAGGTCACCTTACTCTGATATATTGATGACAGTGACAGGTCATCTCAGTCTGACTTATTGATGACAGTGACAGGTCACCTTACTCTGATATATTGATGACAGTGACGGGTCACCTCACTGTGACTTATTGTTGACAGTGACAGGTCACCTTACTGTGACCTATTGATAACAGTGACAGGTCACATCAATGTGTCTTATTTATGACAGTGACAGGTCACATCACTGTGACTTTTTGATGACAGTGACACGTCACCTCACTGTGACTTATTGATGACAGTGACAGGTCACCTTACTCTGATATATTGATGACAGTGACAGGTCACCTCACTGTGACTTATTGATTACAGTGACAGGTCACCATACTCTGATATATTGATGACAGTAACAGGTCCCCTCGTTGTGACTTATTGTTGACAGTAGGTCACCTTACTGTGACTTATTGTTGACAGTGACAGGTCACCTTACTGTGACTTATTGATGACAACAGGTCACCTTACTGTGACTTATTGATGACAGTGACAGGTTACCTCACCGTGACTTATTGATGACAACAGGTCACCTAACTGTGACTTTGTGATGACAGTAGGTCACCTTACTCTGACTTATTGATGACAGTGACAGGTCACCTTACTCTGATATATTGATGACAGTGACAGGTCACCTCACTGTGACTTATTGTTGACAGTAGGTCACCTTACTGTGACTTATTGTTGACAGTGACAGGTCACCTCACTGTGACTTATTGTTGACAGTGACAGGTCACCTCACTGTGACTTATTGTTGACAGTGACGGGTCACCTCACTGTGACTTATTCTTGACAGTAGGTCACCTTACTGTGACTTATTGATGACAGTGACAGGTCTCCTTACTCTATATATTGATGACAGTGACAGATCACCTTACTCTGACTTATTGTTGACAGTGACAGGTCACCTCACTGTGACTTATTGTTGACAGTAGGTCACCTTACTGTGACTTCTTGATGACAGTGACAGGTCACCTCACTGTGACTTATTGTTGACAGTAGGGCACCTTACTGTGACTTCTTGATGACAGTGACAGGTCACCTCACTGTGACTTATTGTTGACAGTAGGTCACCTCATTGTGACTTATTGATGACAGTGACAGGTCACCTCACTGTGACTTATTGATGACAGTGACAGGTCACCTTACTCTGATATATTGATGACAGTGACAGGTCATCTCAGTCTGACTTATTGATGACAGTGACAGGTCACCTTACTCTGATATATTGATGACAGTGACGGGTCACCTCACCGTGACTTATTGTTGACAGTGACAGGTCACCTTACTGTGACCTATTGATGACAGTGACAGGTCACATCAATGTGTCTTATTTATGACAGTGACAGGTCACATCACTGTGACTTTTTGATGACAGTGACACGTCACCTCACTGTGACTTATTGATGACAGTGACAGGTCACCTTACTCTGATATATTGATGACAGTGACAGGTCACCTCACTGTGACTTATTGATTACAGTGACAGGTCACCTTACTGTGACTTATTGTTGACAGTAGGTCACCTTACTGTGACTTTTTGATGACAGTGACAGGTCACCTCAATGTGACTTATTGATGACAGTGACAGGTCACCTCACTGTGACTTATTGATTACAGTGACAGGTCACCTTACTGTGACTTATTGTTGACAGTAGGTCACCTTACTGTGACCTTTTGATGACAGTGACAGGTCTCCTCACTTTGACTTATTGTTGACAGTAGGTCACCTTACTGTGACTTATTGATGACAGTGACAGGTCACCTCACTGACTTATTGATGACAGTTACAGGTCACCTCACTGTGACTAATTGATGACAGTGACAGGTCACCTTACCGTGACTTATTAAGGACAGTGGGTCATCTAACTGTGACTTATTGATGACAATATGTCACCATACTGTGACTTATTGATGACAGTGACAGGTCACTTCACTGACTTATTTAGGACAGTGGTAAGCATGGTAAGTTATCATGACTTTCTGATATAATTCTCTGTAAGATAATATGTACTCATACACCTGGGTTCCTTTCTGCTTCAGAATGGCTGGACGGCCCTGCACAATGCATGCTACTGGTGCTACCCCGCGGCGGTCAAGGTGCTGATTCACCATGGCTGTGACGTCCATCTAGCAAACAAGGTCAGACTTCTTGCCTTCAGCTAACAATAAGGTTATGTGTTTACATGGGTCAACTAGACCTCCAACTGTGTTAACATGAGTCAACTAGACCTCAGTTGTGTTTACATGGGTCATCTAGGCCTCCAGCTGTGTTAACATGAGTCAACAAGACCTCCAGCTGTGTTTACATGGGTCATCTAAACCTCCAGCTGTGTTTACATGGGTCAACTAGACCTCCAGCTGTGTTTACATGGGTCAACTAGACCTCCAGCTGTGTTTACATGGGTCAACTAGACCTCCAGCTGTGTTTACATGTGTCATCTAAACCTCCAGCTGTGTTGACATGGGTCAACTAGACCTCCAGCTGTGTTTGCATGGGTCAACTAGACCTCCAACTGTGTTTACATGGGTCAACTAGACCTCCAGCTGTGTTTACATGGGTCAACTAGACCTCCAGCTGTGTTTACATGGGTCAACTAGACCTCCAGCTGTGTTTACATGGGTCAACTAGACCTCCAGCTGTGTTTACATGGGTCAACTAGACCTCCAGCTGTGTTTACATGGGTCAACTAGACCTCCAGCTGTGTTTACATGGGTCAACTAGACCTCCAGCTGTGTTTACGTGGGTCAACTAGACCTCCAGCTGTGTTTACATGGGTCAACTAGACCTCCAGCTGTGTTTGCATGGGTCAACTAGACCTCCAGCTGTGTTTGCATGGGTCAACTTGACCTTCAGCTGTGTTTACATGGGTCAACTAGACCTCCAGCTGTGTTTACATGGGTCAACTAGACCTCCAGCTGTGTTTACATGGGTCAACTAGACCTCCAGCTCTGTTTACATGGGTCAACTAGACCTCCACCTGTGTTTACATGGGTCAACTAGACCTCCAGCTGTGTTTACATGGGTCAACTAGACCTCCAGCTGTGTTTACATGGGTCAACTAGACCTCCAGCTGTGTTTACATGGGTCAACTAGACCCCCAGCTGTGTTTGCATGGGTCAACTAGACCCCCACCTGTGTTTACATGGGTCAACTAGACCTCCAGCTGTGTTTGCATGGGTCAACTAGACCTCCAGCTGTGTTTGCATGGGTCAACTTGACCTTCAGCTGTGTTTACATGGGTCAACTAGACCCCCACCTGTGTTTACATGGGTTAACTAGACCCTCCAGCTGTGTTTACATGGGTCAACTAGACCTCCAGCTGTGTTTACATGGGTCAACTAGACCCCCAGCTGTGTTTAAATGGGTCAACTAGACCCCCACCTGTGTTTACATGGGTCAACTAGACCTCCAGCTGTGTTTACATGGGTCAACTAGACCTCCAGCTGTGTTTACATGGGTCAACTAGACCTCCAGCTCTGTTTACATGGGTCAACTAGACCTCCACCTGTGTTTACATGGGTCAACTAGACCTCCAGCTGTGTTTACATGGGTCAACTAGACCTCCAGCTGTGTTTACATGGGTCAACTAGACCTCCACCTGTGTTTACATGGGTCAACTAGACCCCCAGCTGTGTTTGCATGGGTCAACTAGACCCCCACCTGTGTTTACATGGGTCAACTAGACCTCCAGCTGTGTTTGCATGGGTCAACTAGACCTCCAGCTGTGTTTGCATGGGTCAACTTGACCTTCAGCTGTGTTTACATGGGTCAACTAGACCTCCAGCTGTGTTTACATGGGTCAACTAGACCTCCAGTTGTGTTTACATGGGTCAACTAGACCTCCAGCTCTGGTTACATGGGTCAACTAGACCTCCAGCTGTGTTTACATGGGTCAACTAGACCTCCAGCTGTGTTTACATGGGTCAACTAGACCTCCAGCTGTGTTTACATGGGTCAACTAGACCTCCAACTGTGTTTACATGGGTCAACTAGACCTCCAACTGTGTTTACATGGGTCAACTAGACCTCCACCTGTGTTTACATGGGTCAACTAGACCCCCAGCTGTGTTTAAATGGGTCAACTAGACCCCCACCTGTGTTTACATGGGTTAACTAGACCCTCCAGCTGTGTTTACATGGGTCAACTAGACCTCCAGCTGTGTTTACATGGGTCAACTAGACCTCCAGCTGTGTTTACATGGGTCAACTCAGCTCTAAGTCTGCAGCAAATGACAGTAAAACTTCCCAAATTATATTTGAGTATCCCAATTCCCCAGAATTTAAAAAAACCAAAAACCTCGACCTACCAGACTGTCTGGCAGATAAGTTCAAGACTAACTACATATATAGTTTAAAAATGACTTTTTGTTGATTCTTAAGTGATTGTGTGCATTATTTCAACTGAATCAAAACACGATATTTTTGGCGATTTTTCAATATTTATTTTGTCTGAATTCAGGTAGGTAACATAGATGAGTCTTCTGCCTGTCTTTTGGGTTTCAATACTATTTCCAAAACGGACTATTTCACAGAGTGAAGTTGTGTCGGCATGGTGCAAATGTTGCAAGTAATGTGTTCAATCGAGAGGGATGGACTTGCAAACCTTTTTGCAAACAACTTGTGTCATCACTAAGTTTCTATTATCCATTCAAATTATTTTCACCACTATTTTACATTGTAGCCCAAACCAATCTGTTTTGGCAGAAAATCAAGACTGATCATTGATGTATAATTATTCTCTCGCTGCATTTGTCACTGAAAACATCAATGACTAAGATCAGTTGTATCAATCCCTAGGATAACCGAACAGCTCTTCATGAAACTGCAAGGTCAAAGGGCACCGATGACCGCAAACTGAGTGCAATCACCGAGCAGCTTGTCACAGCAGGAAGTGATGTCAATGCTAAGGGCAGTGACCTTGGGGAGGTATGTGACTTCCACAGACTCTAACTAATGTGCAGGTCATAATCAAGAAGATTCTTGTTGAAAGGGTTTTCCACAGACTCGAGTTAATGTACAGGTCATAATAATGGGATGTAGGCACACATGGATCTTGGCATGTGATGTTGGTATAATGGATGCTGGTATAGGGATCTTGGTACAATGAATGTTGGTGTACCGGATGTTGGTATAATAGATGTTGGTATAATGGATGTTGGTGTAATGGATGTTGGTGTAATGGATGTTGGTATAATGGATGTTGGTGTAATGGATATTGGTGTAGTTGGATGTTGGTGTAATTGGATGTTGGTATAATGGATGTTGGTGTAATAGATGTTGGTGTATGGATGTTGGTGTATGGATGTTGGTGTAATTGGATGTTGGTGTAATGGATGTTGGTGTAATTGGATGTTGGTACAGTGGATGTTGGTGTAATGGATGTTGGTGTATGGATGTTGGTGTAATGGTTTTTGGTGTAATGGGATGTTGGTGTATGGATGTTGGTGTAATGGATGTTGGTGTAATTGGATGTTGGTACTTTGGATGTTGGTGTAATGGATGTTGGTGTAATTGGATGTTGGTGTAATGGATGTTGGTATATGGATGTTGGTGTAATTGGATGTTGGTGTAATTGGATGTTGGTGTAATAGATGTTGGTATAATGGATGTTGGTGTAATGGATGTTTGTGTAATGGATGTTGGTGTATGGATCTTGGTGTATGGATCTTGGTGTAATTGGATGTTGGTGTAATGGATGTTGGTGTAATGGATGTTGGTGTAATGGATGTTGGTATATGGATGTTGGTGTAATGGATGTTGGTGTAATTGGATGTTGGTGTAATGGATGTTGGTGTAATGGATGTTGGTGTAATGGATGTTGGTGTAATGGATGTTGGTGTAATGGATGTTGGTGTAATGGATGTTGGTGTAATGGATGTTGGTGTATTGATGTTGGTGTAATGGATGTTGGTATATGGATGTTGGTGTAATTGGATGTTGGTGTAATTGGATGTTGGTGTAATGGATGTTGGTGTAATTGGATGTTGGTATATGGATGTTGGTGTATGGATGTTGGTGTAATGGATGTTGGTATTATGGATGTTGATGTATGGATCTTGGTGAATGGATATTGGTATAATGGATGTTGGTATATGGATGTTGGTGTATGGATGTTGGTATTATGGATGTTGGTGTATGGATCTTGGTGTATGGATATTGGTATAATGGATGTTGGTATATGGATGTTGGTGTATGGATGTTGGTGTAATGGATGTTGGTGTAATGGATGTTGGTATATGGATGTTGGTGTAATGGATGTTGGTGTAATTGGATATTGGTGTAATGGATGTTGCTGAATGGATGTTGGTGTAATGGAGGTTGGTGTATGGATGTTGGTGTAATGGATGTTGGTGTAATGGATGTTGGTGTATTGATGTTGGTGTAATGGATGTTGGTATATGGATGTTGGTGTAATTGGATGTTGGTGTAATTGGATGTTGGTGTAATTGGATGTTGGTATATGGATGTTGGTGTATGGATGTTGGTGTAATGGATCTTGGTGTAATGGATGTTGGTATATGGATGTTGGTGTAATGGATGTTGGTGTAATGGATGATGGTGTATGGATGTTGGTGTAATGGATGTTGGTGTAATGGATGTTGGTGTATTGATGTTGGTGTAATGGATGTTGGTATATGGATGTTGGTGTAATTGGATGTTGGTGTAATTGGATGTTGGTGTAATGGATGTTGGTGTAATTGGATGTTGGTATATGGATGTTGGTGTATGGAACTTGGCGTATGGATATTGGTATAATGGATGTTGGTATATGGATGTTGGTATAATGGATGTTGGTATATGGATGTTGGTGTATGGATGTTGGTGTATGGATCTTGGTGTATGGATATTGGTATAATGGATGTTGGTGTATGGATGTTGGTGTAATGGATGTTGGTATATGGATGTTGGTGTATGGATGTTGGTATTATGGATGTTGGTGTATGGTTCTTGGTGTATGGATATTGGTATAATGGATGTTGGTATATGGATGTTGGTGTATGGATGTTGGTGTAATGGATGTTGGTGTAATGGATGTTGGTGTATGGATGTTGGTGTATGGATGTTGGTGTAATGGATGTTGGTGTATGGATGTTGGTGTAATGGATGTTGGTGTAATGGATGTTGGTGTAATGGATGTTGGTGTAATGGTTGTTGGTGTATATGGATGTTGGTGTAATGGATGTTGGTGTATGGATGTTGGTGTATATGGATGCTGGTGTAATGGATGTTGGTGTACATGGATGTTGGTGTAATGGATGTTGGTGTAATGGATGTTGGTGTAATGGATATTGGTGTAATGGATGTTGGTGTATATGGATGTTGGTGTAATGGATGTTGGTGTATGGATGTTGGTGTATATGGATGTTGGTGTAATGGATGTTGGTGTATATGGATGTTGGTGTAATGGATGTTGGTGTATGGATGTTGGTGTAATGGATGTTGGTGTATATGGATGTTGGTGTATATGGATGTTGGTGTAATGGATGTTGGTGTAATGGATGTTGGTGTATATGGATGTTGGTGTAATGGATGTTGGTGTAATGGATGTTGGTGTATGGATGTTGGTGTAATGGATGTTGGTGTAATGGATGTTGGTGTAATGGATGTTGGTGTAATTGGATGTTGGTGTAATGGATGTTGGTGTATATGGATGTTGGTGTATATGGATGTTGGTGTATGGATGTTGGTGTATATGGATGTTGGTGTAATGGATGTTGGTGTATGGATGTTGGTGTAATGGATGTTGATGTATATGGATGTTCGTGTATATGGATGTTCGTGTATATGGATGTTGGTGTATATGGATGTTGGTGTAATTGGATGTTGGTGTAATTGGATGTTGGTGTAATGGATGTTGGTGTAATGGATGTTGGTGTAATTGGATGTTGGTATATGGATGTTGGTGTATGGAACTTGGTGTATGGATATTGGTATAATGGATGTTGGTATATGGATGTTGGTATAATGGATGTTGGTATATGGATGTTGGTGTATGGATGTTGGTATTATGGATGTTGGTGTATGGATCTTGGTGTATGGATATTGGTATAATGGATGTTGGTGTATGGATGTTGGTGTAATGGATGTTGGTATATGGATGTTGGTGTATGGATGTTGGTGTATGGATGTTGGTATTATGGATGTTGGTGTATGGTTCTTGGTGTATGGATATTGGTATAATGGATGTTGGTATATGGATGTTGGTGTATGGATGTTGGTGTAATGGATGTTGGTGTAATGGATGTTGGTGTATGGATGTTGGTGTATGGATGTTGGTGTAATGGATGTTGGTGTATGGATGTTGGTGTAATGGATGTTGGTGTAATGGATGTTGGTGTAATGGATGTTGGTGTAATGGTTGTTGGTGTATATGGATGTTGGTGTAATGGATGTTGGTGTATGGATGTTGGTGTATATGGATGTTGGTGTAATGGATGTTGGTGTACATGGATGTTGGTGTAATGGATGTTGGTGTAATGGATGTTGGTGTATGGATGTTGGTGTAATGGATATTGGTGTAATGGATGTTGGTGTATATGGATGTTGGTGTAATGGATGTTGGTGTATGGATGTTGGTGTAATGGATGTTGGTGTATATGGATGTTGGTGTAATGGATGTTGGTGTATGGATGTTGGTGTAATGGATGTTGGTGTATATGGATGTTGGTGTAATGGATGTTGGTGTATATGGATGTTGGTGTAATGGATGTTGGTGTATATGGATGTTGGTGTAATGGATGTTGGTGTATATGGATGTTGGTGTAATGGATGTTGGTGTAATGGATGTTGGTGTATGGATGTTGGTGTAATGGATGTTGGTGTAATGGATGTTGGTGTAATGGATGTTGGTGTAATTGGATGTTGGTGTAATGGATGTTGGTGTATATGGATGTTGGTGTATATGGATGTTGGTGTATGGATGTTGGTGTATATGGATGTTGGTGTATATGGATGTTGGTGTAATGGATGTTGGTGTATGGATGTTGGTGTAATGGATGTTGGTGTATATGGATGTTGGTGTATATGGATGTTGGTGTATGGATGTTGGTGTATATGGATGTTGGTGTAATGGATGTTTGTGTAATGGATGTTGGTGTATGGATGTTGGTGTAATGGATGTTGGTGTAATGGATGTTGGTGTATATGGATGTTGGTGTATGGATGTTGGTGTATATGGATGTTGGTGTATATGGATGTTGGTGTAATGGATGTTGGTGTATGGATGTTGGTGTATATGGATGTTGGTGTAATGGATGTTGGTGTAATGGATGTTGGTGTATATGGATGTTGGTGTATATGGATGTTGGTGTAATGGATGTTGGTGTATGGATGTTGGTGTATGGATGTTGGTGTAATGGATGTTGGTGTATATGGATGTTGGTGTATATGGATGTTGGTGTATGGATGTTGGTGTATATGGATGTTGGTGTAATGGATGTTGGTGTATGGATGTTGGTGTAATGGATGTTGGTGTATATGGATGTTGGTGTATATGGATGTTGGTGTATGGATGTTAGTGTATGGATGTTGGTGTATGGATGTTGGTGTAATGGATGTTGGTGTAATGGATGTTGGTGTAATGGATGTTGGTGTAATGGATGTTGGTGTATATGGATGTTGGTTTAATGGATGTTGGTGTATATGGATGTTGGTGTAATGGATGTTGGTGTATGGATGTTGGTGTATATGGATGTTGGTGTAATGGATGTTGGTGTAATGGATGTTGGTGTATATGGATGTTGGTGTAATGGATGTTGGTGTAATGGGTGTTGAGGTATATGGATGTTGGTGTATATGGATGTTGGTGTAATGGATGTTGGTGTAATGGATGTTGGTATAATGGATGTTGGTGTATGGATGTTGGTGTACTGGATGTTGGTGTATGGATGTTGGTTTATGGATGTTGGTGTAATGGATGTTGGTGTATGGATATTGGTGTAATTGGATGTTGGTGTAATTGGATGTTGGTGTAATGGATGTTGGTGTATGGATGTTGGTGTATGGATCTTGGTGTATGGATGTTGGTGTATGGATGTTGGTGTAATGGATGTTGGTGTAATGGATGTTGGTGTATGGATGTTGGTGTAATAGATGTTGGTGTATGGATGTTGGTGTAATGGATGTTGGTGTAATGGATGTTGGTGTAATGGATGTTGGTGTAATGGTTGTTGGTGTAATTGGATGTTGGTGTAATTGGATGTTTGTGTAATTGGATGTTGGTATAATGGATGTTGGTGTATGGATGTTGGTGTAATGGATGTTGATGTATGGATGTTGGTGTAATTGGATGTTGGTGTAATTGGATGTTGGTGTAATGGATGTTGGTGTAATGGATGTTGGTGTATGGATGTTGGTGTATGGATGTTGGTGTATGGATATTGGTATAATGGATGTTGGTATAATGGATGTTGGTGTATGGAAGTTGGTGTAATGGATGTTGGTGTAATGGATGTTGGTGTAATAGATGTTGGTGTATGGATGTTGGTGTATGGATGTTGGTGTATGGATGTTGGTGTATGGATGTTGGTGTAATGGATGTTGGTGTAATGGATGTTGGTGTAATGGATGTTGGTGTATGGATGTTGGTGTAATGGATGTTGGTGTGTGGATGTTGGTGTATATGGATGTTGGTATATGGATGTTGGTGTAATGGATGTTGGTGTATATGGATGTTGGTATATGGATGTTGGTGTAATTGGATGTTGGTGTAATTGGATGTTGGTGTTATTGGATGTTGGTGTATGGATGTTGGTGTAATTGGATGTTGGTGTAATTGGATGTTGGTGTAATGGATGTTGGTATATGGATGTTGGTGTAATGGATGTTGGTGTAATGGGATATGGATATAATTGGATGTTGGTGTAATTGGATGTTGGTGTACTGGAGCCAAAAGCTTTTTATTGTCAATCTTTTGTGTATTGTCAGTTTTTAAGGTTTGAATCATTCTCAAAACTCCTGTACTCTAAATTGAGCTATTCAAGCTTACGTGGCATTTCATGTCATTATGTTGAGTGTCTTCCTGCAGGTTGACTTCACATCCCTGATGTTTGCTTCCTACCATGGACACCCTGAAGTGGCCACAGTGCTCATAGAGGCAGGGTGTCACCTCAACGACTGTGGCTCAGTGAGTACTAGAGACAGTTCCACCACCATATCAGCCTACACTACACTGCTCAGACCTACATAACATTAGAGTGGACCACCCTATCTCAACACACTACACAGAGCTACATTACATTAGAGAGGACCCCCCTATCACTCCACACTACACAGAGCTACATAACATTAGAGTGGACCACCCTATCTCAACACACTACACAGAGCTACATTACATTAGAGAGGACCCCCCTATCACTCCACACTACACAGAGCTACATAACATTAGAGAGGACCCCCCTATCACTCCACACTACACAGAGCTACATTACATTAGAGAGGACCATCCTATCACTCCACACTACACAGAGCTACATTACATTAGAGAGGATCCCCCTATCACACCACACTACACAGAGCTACATTACATTAGAGAGGACCACCCTATCTCAACACATTACACAGACCTATGTTATGTTAGAGAGGATCCCCCTATCACACCACACTACACAGAGTTACATTACATTAGAGAGGATCCCCCTATCACTCCACGCTACAAAGAGCTACATTACATTAGAGAGGACCACCCTATCACTCCACACTACAAAGAGCTACGTTATATTACAGAGAATCCCCCTATCACTCCACACTACACAGCTACGTTGCATTAGAGAGGATCCCCCTATCACACCACACTACACAGCTACGTTACACTAGAGAGGATCCCCCTATCACTCCACACTACACAGAGCTACATTACATTAGAGAGGACCACCCTATCACTCCACACTACACAGAGCTACATTACATTAGAGAGGACCACCCTATCACACCACACTACACAGAGCTAAGTTACATTAGAGAGGATCCCCCTATCACTCCACACTATACAGAGCTACGTTACATTAGAGAGGATCCCCCTATCACTCCATAATACACAGCTACGTTACACTAGAGAGGACCACCCTATCTCAACACACTACACAGAGCTACGTTATGTTAGAGAGGATCCCCCTATCACTCCACACTACACAGAGCTACATTACATTAGAGAGGACCACCCTATCACTCCACACTACACAGAGCTACATTACATTAGAGAGGACCACCCTATCACACCACACTACACAGAGCTAAGTTACATTAGAGAGGATCCCCCTATCACTCCACACTATACAGAGCTACATTACATTAGAGAGGATCCCCCTATCACTCCACACTATACAGAGCTACATTACATTAGAGAGGACCACCCTATCACACCACACTACACAGAGCTACGTTATGTTAGAGAGGATCCCCCTATCACTCCACACTATACAGAGCTACATTACATTAGAGAGGATCCCCCTATCACTCCACACTATACAGAGCTACGTTACAACTTGTCCTGTGTATGAAGGACACTGTATGCCACTGTTCTAACTTGTACTGTGTATGGAGGACACTGTATGGCACTGTTATAACTTGTACTGTGTATGAAGGACACTGTTATAACTTGTACTGTGTATGAAGAACACTGTTACAACTTCTACTGTGTATGGAGGACACTGTATGGCACTGTTATAACTTGTACTGTGTATGAAGGACACTGTTACAACTTGTACTGTGTATTAAGGACCCTGTTATAACTTCTACTGTGTATGAAGGACGCTGTATGGCACTGTTATAACTTGTACTGTGTATGGAGGACACTGTTATAACTTGTACTGTGTATGGAGGACACTGTTATAACTTGTACTGTGTATGAAGGACACTGTATGGCACTGTTATAACTTGTACTGTGTATGAACAACACTGTAATAACTTGTACTGTGTATGGAGGACACTGTTATACCTTGTACTGTGTATGAACGACACTGTTATAACTTGTACTGTGTATGGAGGACACTGTTACAACTTGTACTGTGTATGGAGGACACTGTATGGCACTGTTATCACTTGTGCTGTGTATGAAGGACACTGTTATAACGTGTACTGTGTATGAAGGACACTGTTACAACTTGTACTGTGTATAGAGGACACTGTATGCCACTGTTAGAACTTGAAGTGTGTATGGAGGACACTGTATGGCAATGTTATCACTTGTGCTTTGTATGAAGGACACTGTTACAACTTGTACTGTGTATGGAGGACACTGTATGCCACTGTTATCACTTGTACTGTGTATGAAGGATACTGTTACAACTTGTACTGTGTATGAAGGACACTGTTACAACTTGTACTGTGTATGAAGGACACTGTTACAACTTGTACTGTGTATGAAGGACACTGTATGGCACTGTTATCACTTGTGCTGTGTATGGAGGACACTGTTACAACTTGTACTGTGTATGAAGGACACTGTTACAACTTGTACTGTGTATGGAGGACACTGTATGGCACTGTTATAACTTGTACTCTGTATGGAGGACACTGTATGGCACTGTTATAACTTGTACTGTGTATGAAGGACACTGTATGGCACTGTTATAACTTGTACTGTGTATGGAGGACACTGTTATAACTTGTACTGTGTATGGAGGACACTGTATGGCACTGTTATAACTTGTACTGTGTATGAAGGACACTGTATGACACTCTTATAATTTGAACTGTGTATGAAGGACACTGTTACAACTTGTCCTGTGTATGAAGGACACTGTATGCCACTGTTATAACTTGTACTGTGTATGGAGGACACTGTTATAACTTGTACTGTGTATGGAGGACACTGTATGGTACTGTTATAACTTGTACTGTGTATGAAGGACACTGTATGGCACTGTTATAACTTGTACTGTGTATGAAGGACACTGTTAAAACTTGTACTGTGTATGGAGGACACTGTATGGCACTGTTATAACTTGTACTGTGTATGAAGGACACTGTTACAACTTGTACTGTGTATGGAGGACACTGTATGGCACTGTTATAACTTGTACTGTGTATGAAGGACACTGTTACAACTTGTACTGTGTATTAAGGACCCTGTTATAACTTCTACTGTGTATGAAGGACGCTGTATGGCACTGTTATAGCTTGTACTGTGTATGGAGGACACTGTTATAACTTGTACTGTGTATGGAGGACACTGTTATAACTTGTACTGTGTATGAGGGACACTGTATGGCACTGTTATAACTTGTACTGTGTATGGAGGACACTGTTATACCTTGTACTGTGTATGAACGACACTGTTATAACTTGTACTGTGTATGGAGGACACTGTTACAACTTGTACTGTGTATGGAGGACACTGTATGGCACTGTTATAACTTGAACTGTGTATGAAGGACACTGTTATCACTTGTGCTGTGTATGAAGGACACTGTTACAACTTGTACTGTGTATGAAGGACACTGTTACAACTTGTACTGTGTATGAAGGACACTGTTACAACTTGTACTGTGTATGAAGGACACTGTTACAACTTGTTCTGTGTATGAAGGACACTGTAACAACTTGTACTGTGTATGGAGGACACTGTATGGCACTGTTATCACTTGTGCTGTGTATGGAGGACCCTGTTACAACTTGTACTGTGTATGAAGGACACTGTTACCACTTGTACTGTGTATGAAGGACACGGTATGGCACTGTTATAACTTGTACTGTGTATGAAGGACACTGTATGGCACTGTTATAACTTGTACTGTGTATGAAGGACACTGTATGGCACTGTTATAACTTGTACTGTGTATGAAGGACACTGTTACAACTTGTACTGTGTATGGAGGACACTGTATGGCACTGTTATAACTTGTACTGTGTATGGAGGACACTGTTACAACTTGTACTGTGTATGAAGGACACTATGGCACTATTATAACTTGTACTGTGTATGGAGGACACTGTATGGCACTGTTATAACTTGTACTGTGTATGAAGGACACTGTTACAACTTGTACTGTGTATGGAGGACACTGTATGGCCCTGTTATAACTTGTACTGTGTACGAAGGACACTGTTACAAGTTGTACTGTGTATGAAGGACACTGTTACAACTTGTACTGTGTATGGAGGACACTGTTATACCTTGTACTGTGTATGAACGACACTGTTATAACTTGTACTGTGTATGGAGGACACTGTTACAACTTGTACTGTGTATGGAGGACACTGTATGGCACTGTTATCACTTGTGCTGTGTATGAAGGACACTGTTATAACGTGTACTGTGTATGAAGGACACTGTATGCCACTGTTAGAACTTGAAGTGTGTATGGAGGACACTGTATGGCACTGTTATCACTTGTGCTTTGTATGAAGGACACTGTTATAACGTGTACTGTGTATGAAGGACACTGTATGGCACTGTTACAACTTGTACTGTGTATGGAGGACACTGTTACAACTTGTACTGTGTATGGAGGACACTGTATGCCACTGTTATCACTTGTACTGTGTATGAAGGACACTGTTACAACTTGTACTGTGTATGGAGGACACTGTTACAACTTGTACTGTGTATGGAGGACACTGTATGCCACTGTTATCACTTGTACTGTGTATGAAGGACACTGTTACAACTTGTACTGTGTATGAAGGATACTGTTACAACTTGTACTGTGTATGAAGGACATTGTTACAACTTGTACTGTGTATGAAGGACACTGTATGGCACTGTTATCACTTGTGCTGTGTATGGAGGACACTGTTACAACTTGTACTGTGTATGGAGGACACTGTATGGCACTGTTATAACTTGTACTGTGTATGAACGACACTGTAATAACTTGTACTGTGTATGGAGGACACTGTTACAACTTGTACTGTGTATGGAGGACACTGTTACAACTTGTACTGTGTATGGAGGACACTGTATGGCACTGTTATCACTTGTGCTGTGTATGAAGGACACTGTTATAACGTGTACTGTGTATGAAGGACACTGTTATAACTTGTACTGTGTATGGAGGACACTGTTATACCTTGTACTGTGTATGAAGGACACTGTTATAACTTGTACTGTGTATGGAGGACACTGTTACAACTTGTACTGTGTATGGAGGACACTGTTACAACTTGTACTGTGTATGGAGGACACTGTATGGCACTGTTATCACTTGTGCTGTGTATGAAGGACACTGTTATAACGTGTACTGTGTATGAAGGACACTGTTACAACTTGTACTGTGTATGAAGGACACTGTTACAACTTGTACTGTGTATGAAGGACACTGTATGGCACTGTTATAACTTGTACTGTGTATGGAGGACACTGTTACAACTTGTCCTGTGTATGAAGGACACTGTATGGCATTATTATAACTTGTACTGTGTATGGAGGACACTGTATGGCACTGTTATAACTTGTACTGTGTATGAAGGACACTGTTACAACTTGTACTGTGTATGGAGGACACTGTATGGCCCTGTTATAACTTGTACTGTGTATGAAGGACACTGTTACAAGTTGTACTGTGTATGAAGGACACTGTAACAACTTGTACTGTGTATGGAGGACACTGTTATACCTTGTACTGTGTATGAACGACACTGTTATAACTTGTACTGTGTATGGAGGACACTGTTACAACTTGTACTGTGTATGGAGGACACTGTATGGCACTGTTATCACTTGTGCTGTGTATGAAGGACACTGTTATAACGTGTACTGTGTATGAAGGACACTGTTACAACTTGTACTGTGTATGAAGGACACTGTTACAACTTGTACTGTGTATGGAGGACACTGTATGGCACTGTTATCACTTGTGCTTTGTATGAAGGACACTGTTATAACGTGTACTGTGTATGAAGGACACTGTATGGCACTGTTACAACTTGTACTGTGTATGGAGGACACTGTTACAACTTGTACTGTGTATGGAGGACACTGTATGCCACTGTTATCACTTGTACTGTGTATGAAGGACACTGTTACAACTTGTACTGTGTATGAAGGACACTGTTACAACTTGTACTGTGTATGAAGGACATTGTTACAACTTGTACTGTGTATGAAGGACACTGTATGGCACTGTTATCACTTGTGCTGTGTATGGAGGACACTGTTACAACTTGTACTGTGTATGAAGGACACTGTTACAACTTGTACTGTGTATGGAGGACACTGTATGGCACTGTTATAACTTGTACTGTGTATGGAGGACACTGTATGGCACTGTTATAACTTGTGCTGTGTATGAAGGACACTGTATGGCACTGTTTTAACTTGTACTGTGTATGGAGGACACTGTTATAACTTGTACTGTGTATGGAGGACACTGTATGGCACTGTTATAACTTGTACTGTGTATGAAGGACACTGTATGGCACTGTTATAATTTGAACTGTGTATGAAGGACACTGTTACAACTTGTCCTGTGTATGAAGGACACTGTATGCCACTGTTATAACTTGTACTGTGTATGGAGGACACTGTTATAACTTGTACTGTGTATGAAGGACACTGTTACAACTTGTACTGTGTATTAAGGACCCTGTTATAACTTCTACTGTGTATGAAGGACGCTGTATGGCACTGTTATAACTTGTACTGTGTATGGAGGACACTGTTATAACTTGTACTGTGTATGGAGGACACTGTTATAACTTGTACTGTGTATGAAGTACACTGTATGGCACTGTTATAACTTGTACTGTGTATGAACGACACTGTAATAACTTGTACTGTGTATGAAGGACATTGTTACAACTTGTACTGTGTATGAAGGACACTGTATGGCACTGTTATAACTTGTACTGTGTATGAAGGACACTGTATGGCACTGTTATAACTTGTACTGTGTATGAAGGACACTGTATGGCACTGTTATAACTTGTACTGTGTATGAAGGACACTGTATGGCACTGTTATAACTTGTACTGTGTATGAAGGACACTGTATGGCACTGTTATAACTTGTACTGTGTATGAAGGACACTGTTACAACTTGTACTGTGTATGGAGGACACTGTATAGCACTGTTATAACTTGTACTGTGTATGGAGGACACTGTTACAACTTGTACTGTGTATGAAGGACACTGTATGGCACTGTTATAACTTGTACTGTGTATGGAGGACACTGTATGGCACTGTTATAACTTGTACTGTGTATGAAGGACACTGTTACAACTTGTACTGTGTATGGAGGACACTGTATGCCACTGTTATAACTTGTACTTTGTATGAAGGACACTGTTACAAGTTGTACTGTGTATGAAGGACACTGTTACAACTTGTACTGTGTATGGAGGACACTGTATGCCACTGTTATAACTTGTACTGTGTATGAAGGACACTGTAACAACTTGTACTGTGTATGAAGGACACTGTTACAAATTGTACTGTGTATGAAGGACACTGTTACAACTTGTACTGTGTATGAAGGACACTGTATGCCACTGTTATCACTTGTGCTGTGTACGAAGGACACTGTATGACACTGTTGTGACTTTTACTTCAGAACTGGTGGACGTCACTGCACTGGGCAGCTGACCGTGGTCAGGAGGAACTGGTGTACATCCTACTTGAGGCAGGGGCTGACCCAACGAAGAAAGGAACTGTAAGTACCAGTACTGACCGAACAAAGAAAGGAACCGTATGTACCAGTACTGACCCCATGAAGAAAGGAGCTGTAAGTACCAGTACCGACCCATTGAAAAAAGGAACCGTAAGTACCAGTATTGACTCAACGAAGAAAGGAACCGTAAGTACCAGTACTGACCAATTGAAGAAAGGAGCTGTAAGTACCACTACTGACCCATTGAAGAAAGGAGCTGTAAGTACCACTACTGACCCCATGAAGAAAGGAACCGTATGTACCAGTAATGACTCAACGAAGAAAGGAGCTGTAAGTACCAGTACTGACCCATTGAAGAAAGGAGGTGTAAGTACCACTACTGACCCCATGAAGAAAGGAACCGTATGTACCAGTAATGACTCAACGAAGAAAGGAGCTGTAAGTACCAGTACTGACCCAATGAAGAAAGGAACAGTAAGTACTAGTAATGACCCCATGAAGAAAGGAACCGTAAGTACCAGTACTGACTCAACGAAGAAAGGAGCTGTAAGTACCAGTACTGACCCATTGAAGAAAGGAGCTGTAAGTACCACTACTGACCCCATGAAGAAAGGAACCGTATGTACCAGTAATGACCCCATGAAGAAAGGAGCTGTAAGTACCAGTACTGACCCATTGAAGAAAGGAGCTGTAAGTACCAGTACTGACCCATAGAAGAAAGGAGCTGTGAGTACCAGTACAGACCCATTGAAGAAAGGAGCTGTAAGCACCAGTAATGACCCCATGAAGAAAGGAACCGTAAGTACCAGTACTGACTCAATGAAGAAAGGGTCCGTAAGTACCAGTACTGACCTAACGAAGAAAGGGTCCGTAAGTACCAGTACTGACCCAACGAAGAAAGGAACCGTAAGTACCAGTACTGACCCAACGAAGAAAGGAACTGTAAGTACCAGTAATGACCCCATGAAGAAAGGAGCTGTAAGTACCAGTACTGACCCATTGAAGAAAGGAGCTGTAAGTACCAGTACTGACCCATTGAAGAAAGGAACCATAAGTACCAGTAATGACTCCATGAAGAAAGGAGCTGTAAGTACCAGTACTGACCCAACGAAGAAAGGAACCATAAGTACCAGTAATGACTTCATGAAGAAAGGAGGTGTAAGTACCAGTACTGACCCATTGAAGAAAGGAGGTGTAAGTACCAGTACTGACCCATTGAAGAAAGGAACCGTAAGTACCAGTACTGACCCATAGAAGAAAGGAGCTGTGAGTACCAGTACTGACCCAACGAAGAAAGGAACCGTAGGTACCAGTACTGACCCATTGAAGAAAGGAGGTGTAAGTACCAGTACTGACCCATTGAAGAAAGGAGCTGTAAGTACCAGTACTGACCCATTGAAGAAAGAAGCTGTGTGTACCAGTACTGATCCATAGAATAAAGGAGCTGTGAGTACCAGTACTGACCCAATGAAGAAAGGAACAGTAAGTACTAGTAATGACCCCATGAAGAAAGGAACCGTAAGTACCAGTACTGACCCATAGAAGAAAGGAATTGTTAGTACCAGTACTGACCCCATGACTCAACTTAAATTGAAAAGGAGCCCCAGTGAGATGGGAAATTTCGTTGATAATCGTATCCTGCTACATACACAAGGGCAGATCCAGCATTTTTAAAAGGGAAGGGTCGAAAATATCAAAATCCTCTCTCAGATAATGTTTTACTGCCTACAACAAACTACGGATGGATCCACTGGACCCTCTAATCTGGAACCACCTATGCAGTGGCAACACATTCCAATACATTTCACGTTATTAAATTTTACATAAATTAAGTCACACTTAGTTTTAGTGCTGTACTTTGGTTTTGCTTCACAGCGGGGAGAACTTGCCGCAGATCGTGCCAAGACTGAGGACATGAAGGAAGTCCTGCGCAATGCTGCCACCATGTACAAGGAACTGAAGGCTCTCGAAAAACAGGTGAGGAATTTCAGACACACCCAGATCACTGCCTTACTAAAATACACATTAGACCTTTCTCTTCCTACAATACACACTAGACTTTTTTCTTCCTACAACCTAAGACCGGGGTTCAATTCCCAACATGGGTACAATGTTTGAAGCCCATTTCTGGTGTCCCCCCCACCGGGATATTGCTGGAATATTGCTAAAAACGGTGTAAAACCATACTCACTCACTCACTCACTCTTCCTGCAATCCACACGAGACCTTTCTCTTCCGAAAGTACACACTAAGATCTTCCTCTTCCTACAATACACAATGATATCTTCCTCTTCCTACAATACACAATATCTTCCTCTCCCTACAATACACAATGAATGATATCTTCCTCTCCCTACAATACACAATGATATCTTCCTCTTCCTACAATACACAATGATATCTTCCTCTTCCTACCAACACTTCCTTTCTCTTCCTACACTACACAATAGGGGCGGTTGGGTAGCCTAGTGGTTAAAGTGTTCGCTTGTCATGCCAAACACCCGGGTTCAATTCCGACATGGGTACAATGTGTGAAGCCCATTTCTGGTGTCCCCCGCCGTGATATTGCTGGAATATTGCTAAAAGCAGCGTAAAACCATACTCACTCACTCTCTACACGACACAATAATATCACACACTAGACCTTTCTCTTCCTACAGTACACACTAGACCTTTCTCTTCCTACAATAGATTTCTCTTCCTACTATGCACACTAGACCTTTCTCTTCCTACTTTGCACACTAGACCTTTCTCTTCCTACAATACACACTAGACCTTTCTATTACTACAATATCTTTCTCTTCCTACAATGCTTACTAGAACTTTCTCTACAATACACAATACACTGTTCACTTCCTACTATACACACTTCACCGTTCTCTTCCTACAATACACATTCAAATCTTTCTCTTCTTACAATACACACTGAGATCTTTTTCTTACTACAATCCACACTAAGATCTTTCTCTTCCTACAATACAAACTAAGATCATTCTCATCCTACAATCCACACTAAGATCTTTCTCATCCTACAATCCACACTAAGATCTTATTCTTCCAACAATACACAATAAGATTTTTCACTTCCTACAATACACACTACACCGTTCTCTTCCTACAATATACACTAGACTTTTCTCTTCCTACAATACACACTAAGATTTTTCTCTTCCCACAATACACACTAAGATCTTTCTCTTACTACAATACACATTAAGATCTTTCTCTTCCTACAATACACACTAGATTTTTCTCTTCCTACAATACACACAAGATCATTCTCATCCTACAATCCACACTAAGATCTTTCTCATCCTACAATCCACACTAAGATCTTTCTCTTCCTACAATACACACTAATATCTTACTCTTCCAACAATACACAATAAGATTTTTCACTTCCTACAATACACACTACACCGTTCTCTTCCTACAATACACACTAGACTTTTCTCTTCCTACAATACACACTAAGATTTTTCTCTTCCCACAATACACACTAAGATCTTTCTCTTACTACAATACACACTAGACTTTTCACTTCCTACAATACACACTACACCGTTCTCTTCCTACAATACACACTAACATCTTTCTCACCCTACAATCCACACTTAGATCTTTCTCTTCCAACAATACACACTAAGATCTTTCTCTTCCAACAATACACACTACACTGTTCTCTTCCTACAATACACACTAACATCTTTCTCACCCTACAATCCACACTTAGATCTTTCTCTTCCAACAATACACACTAAGATCTTTCTCTTCCAACAATACACACTACACTGTTCTCTTCCTACAATACACACTAACATCTTTCTCACCCTACAATCCACACTTAGATCTTTCTCTTCCAACAATACACACTAAGATTTTTCACTTCCCACAATACACACTACACTGTTCTCTTCCTACAATATACACTAGACTTTTCTCTTCCTACAATACACACTAAGATCTTTCTATTCCTGCAATACACACTAAGATTTTTCTCTTCCCACAATACACACTAAGATCTTTCTCTTACCGCAATACACACTAAGATTTTTCTCCTCCTACAAACACACTAATATCTTTCTCAAAGATCTTTTTCTTCCTACAATACACACTAATATCTTTCCCTTCCTACAATACACACTACACCATTCCCTTCCTACAATACACACTAGACCTTTCTCTTCCTACAATACACACAAGATCTTTCTCTTCCTACAATACACACAAGATCTTTCTCTTCCTACAATACACACTACACCGTTCACTTCCTACAATACACACAAGATCTTTCTCTTCCTACAATACACACTATACACCTTTCTCTTCTACAATACACACTCAAATCTTTCTCTTCTTACAATACACACTAGACCTTTCTCTTCCTACAATACACACTAGACCTTTGTCTTCCTACAATACACACAAGATCTTTCTCTTCCTACAATACACACTACACCGTTCACTTCCTACAATACTCACTACACTGTTCTCTTCCTACAATACACACTCAAATCTTTCACTTCCTACAATACTCACTACACCGTTCTCTTCCTACAATACACACTAGACTTTTCTCTTCCTACAATACACACTTAGATCTCTTTTTTGCTTCAAAGTACACTTACTTACATTTTATGAGACATAATATATTTTCGTTGTGTACATATACCTGCTTCTCTCATTCTTTCCAGAACATGTCTGATTCATCAGTTCGCCTTTCACGAGCAAGTTGTTGCAGTACAACCAGCCTGAACCACTCACCCAGCAAGTCTGGGCCTCATGGTCTCGTTGAAGGGGGCCAGCTGTCACCACCAATGAGTCCTTCAAAGCAAAGTGACCTTGCTTCTCTGATTGAGAAGATCAATCAGACGACAGTGAAGCTGCAACAAATGGCAAGGCATGATAGGTGCAGGGAGGCTGGCCACAGTAACACTCAAGATGTGTCAAGATCAGACACTGGCCACAGTAACACTCAAGATGCCTTAAGATCAGACACTGGCCACAGTGACACTCAAGATGTGTCAAGATCAGACACTGACCACAGTAACACTCAAGATGTGTCAAGATCAGACACTAGTGACAGTAACAATCAAGATGCCTCAAGATCAGGCACTGGCAACAGTAACACTAAAGAGGTCTCAAGATCAGAGACTTGTGACAGTAACACTCAAGAGGCCTCAAGATCAGACACTGGTGATCATAGAGGAGATTTGGAGGACATCAACAAAGATGCACACATCTCCGTCGGAGAGTTGGAGAAGGATGTTACTCAACAAAACATGTACCTTCATATTGTGCCACAGTGTGAGAGACACAGTGATACTCATAAAACATGTGACAAATCTGATTTGGCTCACACGGACCAGCAAGACATGCCCAAGGTTGAGACGACTATATGATACCCCACAGCCCTGTACTGCATGGTGCATTGTATAGACTAAACCTTCCATCAGGTGATTACTCGCTACATACGTATTTTTAAGCTGACATAATTCAACACATGTTATATGTATAAGTGAGTAGATATTGCTTAACTACACATCACCAATCTTGCAGCTATAATCCTATCACTTATTCCTACTTTTGCATTATGTTCAGTTTGTTTGAAGATTGTGCATAATATTGTACATGCCAATGAATACGTGATATTTTGAGTAAACACTTCTACTTGTCATCATGGCTACATTAGAAGGCATGTAGATTTTGCATGGTAGATATTGATATGAACCTGCTTGACACATCCTTCAAACTTTACTTTTTTTGTCATCTTGTATTAAAAATTATACTTATGGTGCCAATAAAACTGTGTTTCTTCTTTTTTGTAGTTAGACCTCCAATGTTTACATGTCATAGTCTGTCTTACTTTTATTGCCCTTAATTTTGATGACTTTTAGATAGGTTAACGATGTCATTGTACAACTTGCTCATAGGTTAAGGTTGTGGGGTTCTGGTGGCTATCCCTGGGTTAAGGTTGTGGGGCTCTGGCGGTTATCCCTGGGTTAGGGTTGTGGGGCTCTGGCAGTTATCCCTTGGTTAGGGTTGTGGGGCTGTGGTGGTTATCCCTGGGTTAGGGTTGTGAGGTTCTGGTGGCTATCCCTGGGTTAGGGTTGGGAGGTTATGGTGACTATCCCTGGGTTAGGGTTGTGGAGCTTTTGCAGCTATCCCTGGGATAGGGCTGTGGGGCTCTGGCAGTTATCCCTGGGTTAAGGTTGTGGGGCTCTGGGGGTTATCCCTGGTTTAGGGTTTTCGGGTTCTGGCAGCTATCCCTGGGTTAGGGTTGTGGGGTTCTGGCAGCTATCCCTGGTTTAAGGTTGTGGGGCTCTGGCAGTTATTCCTGGGTTAGGGTTGTGGGGCTCTGGCAGCTATCCCTGGGTTAAGGTTGTGGGGCTCTGGCAGTTATCCCTGGGTTAGGGTTGTCGGGCTCTGGTGGCTATCCCTGGGTAAGGGTTGTGGGGATCTGGTTCCTATCCCTGGGTTAGGGCTGTGGGGCTCTTGTGGCTATCCCTGTTTTTTGTGGGGCTCTGTGCAATACATTAATATGTGGATGTCACAAACTACCCAGCGTCCAACAAATGTCACACACTACCAAGATATCGCACACGCTACCCATCGTGTACACAAGCCCCAGCAGATGTCACACACCACCGAAGCGGATGTCACACACTACCCAGATTCACACACTACCCAGTAGATGTTACACTCTACCCAGCAGACGCACACGCTACCCAACAGATGTCACGACATTCCCAGTAGATGTCACACACTACCCACCAGATGTCAAAAACACTACCCAGTAGATGTCACACACCACCGAAGCGGATGTCACACACTACCCAGATTCACACACAACCCAGTAGATGTCACACTACCCAGCGGATGTCACACACTACCCAGCAGATGTCACACACTACCCTGTAGATGTCACACACTACCCTGTAGATGTCACACACTACCCAGTAGATGTCACATACTACCCACAAGATGCCACACACTACCCACCAGATGTCAAAAACACTACCCAGTAGATGTCACACACCACCGAAGCGGATGTCACACACTACACAGATTCACACACAACCCAGTAGATGTCACACTACCAAGCGGATGTCACACACTTCCCAGCAGATGTCACACACTAGCCTGTAGATGTCACACACTACCCAGTAGATGTCACATACTACCGAGCAGATGTCACACAATACCCACCAGATGCCACACACTACCCACCAGATGTCAAAAACACTACCCAGTAGATGTCGCAAACTACCCAGCGGATGTCACATACTACCCAGTAGATGTCACACACTACCCAGTAGATGTCACAAACTACCCAGTAGATGTCACACTACCCGGCGGATGTCACACACTACCAAGTAGATGTCACACTACCCAGCAGATGTCACACACTACCCACCAGATGTCACATACTACCCACCAGATGTCACACACTACCCAGTAGATGTCGCACACTTCCCAGTAGATGTCACACACTACCCACAAGATGTCAGACACCAAACCAGATTCACACACTACCCAGTAGATGTCGCACACTACCCAGTAGATGTCGCACACTTCCCAGCAGATGTCACACACTACCCAGATGTCACATACTACCCGGTAGATGTCGCACATTTCCCAGTAGATGTTACACACTACCCACCAGATGTCACACACTACCAGTGGTCCAGTGGTAGAGCGTCTGCCCGGAGAGCGGAAGGTGCGTGGTTCGATCCCCGGCCGAGTAATACCAAAAGACGTTAAAAGATGGTTCTTGTTGTTACCCTGTCTGGCGCTCAGCTTTAAGGGGCTAAAACAAGGACTGGTCGGCTCGGAGTCAGTATACTGTGTTTGAGTGGGGTATTCATGTTAAACTGCGGCATGGTATCTCAGTGAGCTAGCACTATAAATCGGCAACAGTCCGAGAAGTACAAGCAGCCACACAAACACACACGTACTTGCACGTCGCTATATAAGTGCAATAATCTTGGTCGCGACGTTAAACCCCATTTCACCTCACCGCCACCACCCACGTCACACACTACCCAGTAGATGTCGCACACTTCCCAGTAGATGTCACACACTACCCACTAGATGTCGCACACTACCCAGTAGATGTCGCACACTACCCAGCGGATGTCACACACTACCCACTAGATGTCGCACACTTCCCAGTAGATGTCGCACACTTCCCAGTAGATGTCACACACTACCCAGTAGATGTCGCACACTTCCCAGTAGATGATGCATACTACCCACCAGATGTCACACACTAGCCAGTAGATGTCGCACACTTCCCAGTAGATGTCACACACTACCCACAAGAACACTTCCCAGTAGATGTCACACACTACCCACCAGATGTCGCACACTTCCCAGTAGATGTCACACTCTACCCACCAGATGTCGCACACTACTCAGTAGATGTCGCACACTACCCAGTAGATGTCACATACTACCCACCAGATGTCGCATACTACCCACCAGATGTCGCACACTACCCAGTAGATGTCACACACTGCCCACAAGATGTCAGACACTTCCCAGTAGATGTCACACACTACCCACCAGATGTCGCACACTTCCCAGAAGATGTCGCATACTACCCACCAGATGTCGCACACTTCCCAGTAGATGTCACACACTGCCCACAAGATGTCACACACTACCCACCAGATGTCACACACTACCCAGTAGATGCCACACTGTACCCAGTAGATGCCACACACTACCCAACATATGTCAAACACCACCAACCAGATATCACACAGTACCCAGTAGATGTGGCATACTACCCAGCAGATGTCACACACAAACAAGCGGATGTCACACACTATGAATATTTTAACAGAGACGATATTTTGCCCGTATTTTTTTCGTAGCTGAAGAGAGCTTTTTGTTATGGTCCTATCAGTTGAAAAGAAATTCTTTTCCACTACCCGACTATGTACCTCCACTCTCCGACTATGTACCTCAACTCTCTGGCTATGTACCTCCACTACCCGACTATGTACCTCCACTCTCCGACTATGTACCTCCACTACCCGACTATGTACCTCCTCTACCCGACTATGTACCTCCGCTCTCCGACTATGTACCTCCACTGCCCTACTATGTACCTCCACTCTCCGACTATGTACCTCCACTCTCCGACTATGTACCTCCACTCCCAGACTATGTACCTCCACTCTGACTTTGTACCTCCACTACCCGACTATGTACCTCCTCTACCCGACTATGTACCTCCACTCTCAGACTATGTACCTCCACTGCCCTACTATGTACCTCCACTCCCAGACTGTGTACCTCCACTCTCCGACTATGTACCTCCACTACCCGACTATGTACCTCCTCTACCCGACTATGTACCTCCACTCTCCGACTATGTACCTCCACTCTGACTTTGTACCTCCACTCTCCGACTATGTACCTCCACTACCCGACTACGTACCTCCACTGCCCTACTATGTACCTCCACTCTCCGACTATGTACCTCCACTCTCCGACTATGTACCTCCACTGCCCTACTATGTACCTCCACTCTCCGACTATGTACCTCCACTCTCCGACTATGTACCTCCACTGCCCTACTATGTACCTCCACTCTCCGACTACGTACCTCCACTCTCCGACTTTGTCCCTCCACTCTCCGACTATGTACCTCCACTCTCCGACTATGTACCTCCACTGCCCTACTATGTACCTCCACTCTCCGACTATGTACCTCACTCTCCGACTACGTACCTCCACTACCCGACTATTTACCTCCACTCCCAGACTATGTATTTCCACTGCCCTCTACTACCAAACTATGGACCTCCACTACCCTACCATGTACCTCCACTCTCCGACTTTGTACCTCCACTACCCTACTATGTACCTCCACTACCCTACTATGCACCTCCACTCTCCGACTTTGTACCTCCACTCTCCGACTATGTACCTCCACTGCCCTACTATGTACCTCCACTACCCGACTATGTACCTCCACTACCCGACTATGTACCTCCACTACCCTACTATGCACCTCCACTACCCTACTATGCACCTCCACTCTCCGACTATGTACCTCCACTCTCCGACTATGTACCTCCACTGCCCTACTGTGTACCTCCACTACCCTACTATGCACCTCCACTCCCAGACTATGTACCTCCACTCTCCGACTATGTACCTCCACTGCCCTACTATGTACCTCCACTACCCTACTATGTACCTCCACTCTCCGACTATGTACCTCCACTACCCTACTATGTACCTCCACTACCCTACTATGCACCTCCACTACCCTACTATGCACCTCCACTCTCCGACTATGTACCTCCACTCTCCGACTATGTACCTCCACTGCCCTACTATGTACCTCCACTACCCTACTATGCACCTCCACTCCCAGACTATGTACCTCCACTCTCCGACTATGTACCTCCACTCTCCGACTATGTACCTCCACTACCCGACTATGTACCTCACTCTCCGACTATTTACCTCCACTACCCGACTATGTACCTCCACTCTCCGACTATGTACCTCACTCTCCGACTACGTACCTCCACTACCCGACTAAGTACCTCCACTCTCCGACTATGTACCTCACTCTCCGACTACGTACCTCCACTACCCGACTATGTACCTCCACTCTCCGACTTTGTACCTCCACTTTCCGACTATGTTCCTCCACTGCCCTTTTATGTACCTCCACTACCCTACTATATACCCCCACTCTCCGACTTTGTACCTCCACTGCCCTACTATGCACCTCCACTACCCGACTATATACCCCCACTCTCCGACTTTGTACCTCCACTCCCAGACTATGTACCTCCACTGCCCTCTACTACCCAACTATGTACCTCCACTACCCTGCTATGTACTTCCACTACCCTGCTATGTACTTCCACTACCAGACTATGTACCTCAACTGCCCGAATATGAACCTCCACTGCCCTCTACTACCCGACTTTGTCTCTCCACTACGCTCTACTACCCAACTATGTACCTCCATTACCCTCTACTACCCGACTATGTACCTCCACTACCCTCTACTACCCGACTATGTACCTCCACCATCCTCTACTACCTGACGTTGTATACCTCCACAACCCTCTACTTCCCGACTATGTACCTCCACTACCTGACTATGTACCTCTACTACCCAACTATGTACCTCAACTACCCTCTACTGCCCTACCACTACCCTCTACTACCTGACAGTGGCCCTCCACTACCCTCTACTGCCCGACTAGGTATCTCCATTATGACTATGTTACACCACTACCCTCTACTACCCGACTATGTTCCTCCGCTCTCCCTCCCTCTACGTCCCGACAATGTTCCTCCGCTCTCCCTCCCTCTACTACCCGACTATGTTCCTCCGCTCTCCCTCCCTCTACGTCCCGACTATGTACCTCCACTTTCCGACAATGTACCTCCACTAACCCCCACTACCCGACTATGTACCTCCACCACCCGACTTTGTCCCTCCACTACCCTCTACTACCCGACTATGTACCTCCACCATCCTCTACTACCTGACGTTGTATACCTCCACAACCCTCTACTTCCCCACTATGTACCTCCACTACCTGACTATGTACCTCTACTACCCAACTATGTACCTCAACTACCCTCTACTGCCCTACCACTACCCTCTACTACCTGACAGTGCCCCTCCACTACCCTCTACTGCCCGACTAGGTATCTCCATTATGACTATGTTACACCACTACCCTCTACTACCCGACTATGTTCCTCCGCTCTCCCTCCCTCTACGTCCCGACAATGTTCCTCCGCTCTCCCTCCCTCTACGTCCCGACTATGTACCTCCACTTTCCGACAATGTACCTCCACTAACCCCCACTACCCGACTATGTACCTCCACCACCCGACTTTGTCCCTCCACTACCCTACTATATACCTCCACTACCCTCTACTTCCCGACTACGTACATCCACTCTCCTACTATGTACCTGCACTACCCACTACTACCCAACTATGTCTCTCCACTACCTTCTACTACCCGGCTATATACCTCAACTACACTCTAACCGACTATGTATCTCCACTCCCCAACTTTGTACCTCCACTACCCGCTACAACCAGACTATGTACCTCCACTACCCTGCAATGTACCCCCACTACCCGACTATGTACCTCTACCCTCCGACTATGTACCTCCACTACTAGACTATGTACCTCCACTCTCCGACTATGTACCTCGGCCAACCGACTATGTCCCTCCACTACCCGGCTATGTACCTCCACTACCCTCTACCACCCCACTATGTACCTCCACTACCCCACTATGTACCTCCACTACCCTCTACTACCCCACTATGTACCTCCACTACCCTCTGCTACCCCACTATGTACCTCCACTATCCGACTATGTACCTCCACTGCCCTCTACTACCCGACTATGTACCTGCACTACCCTCTACTACCAAACTATGTACCTCCACTATCCGACTATGTACCTCCACTGCCCTCTACTCCCCGACTATGTACCACTACTACCCGACTATGTACCCCCACTACCCTCTCCTACCAGACTATGTACCTGCACTACCCTCTACTACCCAACTATGTACCTCCAATACCCTACTATGCACCTCCACTACCCGACTATGTACCTCCACTACCCGACTATGTACCTCCACTCTCCGACTTTGTACCTCCACTCTCCGACTTTGTACCTCCACTCTCCGACTTTGTACCTCCACCCTCCGACTTTGTACCTCCACTCTCCGACTTTGTACCTCCACTCTCCGACTTTGTACCTCCACTCCCCGACTTTGTACCTCCACTGCCCTCTACTACCCAACTATGTACCTCCACTACCCTACGATGTACCTCCACTCTCCGATTATGTACCTCCACTACCCTACCATGTACCTCCATTACCCTACCATGTACCTGCAATACCCGACTATGAACCTACACTTCCCGAATATGTACATCCACTACCCGACTATGTACCTCCACTGCCCTCTACTACCCGTCTATGTACCTCCACTACCCTGCTACGAACCTCCACTACCCCACTATGTACCTCCACTGCCCTCTACTACCCGACTATGTACTTCCACTACCAGACTATGTACCTCCACTGTCCAACTATGTACCTCCACTCTCCGACTATGTACCTCCACTACTCGACTATGTACCTCCACCACCCGACTATGTACCTCCACTTCCCGAATATGTATATCCACTACCCGACTATGTACCTCCACTACCCTGCTACGAACCTCCACTACCCGACTATGTACCTCCACTGCTCTCTACTACCCGACTATGTACCTCCACTTCCCTGCTATATACTTCCACTACCCTGCTATGTACTTCCACTACCAGACTATGTACCTCCACTCTCCAACTATGTACCTCCACTACCCTGCTATGTACCTCCACTACCCTGCTACGAACCTCCACTACCCGACTATGTACCTCCACCACCCGACTATGTCCCTCCACTATCCGACTATGTACCTCCAATACCCTCTAGTACCAGACTATGTAGCTCCACTACCCTACTGTGTACCTCCACTACCCGACTATGAACCTCCACTCTCCGACTATGTACCTCCACTATTCGACTTTGTACCTCCACTACCCGACTTTGTCCTGACTATGTACCTCCGCTCTCCGACTATGTACCTCCACCACCCGACTATGTCCGACTAGGTATCTCCACTCTCCGACTATGTACCTCCATTACCCTCTACTACCCTACTATGTAGCTCAACTACCCTACTATGTACCTCCACTACTCGACTTTGTACCTCCACAACCCTACTTTGTCCTGACTATGTACCTCCACTCTCCGACTATGTACCTCCAACACCCGACAATGTACCTCCACTACCCGAATATGTCCTGACTATGTACCTCCACCACCCGACTATGTCCCTCCACTACCCTCTACCACCCGACTTTGTACCTCCACTACCCTCTACTACCCGACTTTGTACCTCCACTACCCTCTACTACCCGACTTTGTACCTCCACTACCCTCTACTACCCGACTTTGTACCTCCACTACCCTCTACTACCCGACTTTGTACCTCCACTACCCTCTTGTACCCGACTATGTACCTCCACTATCCGACTATGTACCTCCACTTCCCTCTACTACCAGACTATGCACCTCCACTACCCTACTATGTTCCTCCACTACCCGACTATGTACCTCCACTCTCCGACTATGTACCTCCGCTACTCGACTTTGTACCTCCACTACCCGACTTTGTCCTGACTATGTACCTCCACTCTCCGACTATGTACCTCCACCACCCGACAATGTCCCTCCACTACCCTCTACTACCCGACTATGAATCTCCACTACCCTCTATTTCTCGACTTTGTTCCTCCATTCCGACTTTGTTACACAACTACCCTCTACTACCCGACTATGTCCCGACTATGTACCTCCACTCTCCGTCCTTCGGCGTCCCGACTATGTACCTCCACTCTCCGACTATGTACCTCCACTACTCGACTATGTCCCGACTATGTACCTCCACTATCCGACTATGTATCTGCACTACAATCTACTACCCGACTTTGTCCCTCCACTACCCGACTATGGACATCCACTCTCCGACTATGTACCTGCATTACCCTCTACTACCCTACTTTATACCTCTACTACCCTACTTTATACCTCCACTTCTCTCTACTACCCTACTATATACTTCTACTACCCGACTATGTACCTCGACTACTTTCTACTTCCCGACTATGTACCTCCACTTTCCGACTATGTACCTGCACTACCCTCTACTACCCGAATATGTACCTCCACTACCCTCTACTTCCCGACTGTATACCTCCACTCTCCGACTATGTACCTCCATTACCCTCTACTACCCGACTATGTACCTACACTCTCCGACTATGAACCTCCACCACCCGACTTTGTCCCTCCACTACCCGACTTTGTACCTCCACTACCCTCTACTACCCGACTATGTACCTCCACTACCCGACTATGTACATCCACTCTCCGACTATGTACCTGCATTACCCTCTACTACCCTACTTTATACCTCTACTACCCTACTTTATACCTCCACTACTCTCTACTACCCTACTATATACTTCTACTACCCGACTATGTACCTCGACTACTTTCTACTTCCCGACTATGTACCTCCACTTTCCGACTATGTACCTGCACTACCCTCTACTACCCGAATATGTACCTCCACTACCCTCTACTTCCCGACTGTATACCTCCACTCTCCGACTATGTACCTCCATTACCCTCTACTTCCCGACTATGTACCTCCACTACTCTATACCCGACTTTGTACCTCCACTCTCCGACTTTGTACCTCCACTACCCTCTACTTCCCGACTATGTACCTCCACTCTCCGACTATGTACCTCCACTACCCTCTACTACCCGGCTATATACCTCCACTTCTCTATACCCGACTATGTATCTCCAACCCCGACTATGTACCTGCACTACCCACTACTACCCAACTATGTCTCTCCACTACCCTCTACTACCCGGCTATATGCCTCCACTACTCTCTACCCGACTATGTAGCCACTCCCCGACTATGTACCTGCACTACCCTATACTACCCGACTAAGTATACCTCCACTACCCGACTGTTGACCCCCTCAATTCACATTACAAACATCTAGGCCCACGGGCACCCGTTAAAAGCTAGTAGAACTCACTGCGGGCGGCCGAGGCAACCCCTTGTACAGTTTACAATCTCCCTGCCCAAATACCCAGGCCGTACGTCCTATAGGCGTCGTGCAGCGCCTCCAACAACAAACACAGTAACCATGCAAGAGAACGGCCCGGTGGCCCTCGCTACCCACTCTCTGTTTATCTACAGCCAAACACACACAGCACACGACCAGTTCAACTCTACCGAGTCTCCTCAGTCACTATGGTAAGTAAACTAGTCATAGTCAAATCAAACATATCCACAGTAATGTGACGAACCTCAGATTCAGTATCATAAGGTTTTAGTCTAGTTTAAACTATTTTATTGTACTTGATATCAACTGTTTCAACAGCACCATCGTGGCCGGGGCTGTAATACTTGATCTGCCTGATCGATCTTTCAATGTAGGTCTCCTACACCGGGTTGTGAACACCTCTTGGCGCTGCAGGCGACTCCACACGCCCGGAATGGCAGTGGGATTGTGTTATTGTGTTGATACATGTAACATATTAACTGCAGCAGGCGTCTGGTATGTTTGCTAGTGCACATACCATTCGCCTTGGTTGAGATTTTAAGAATATCTATATTACCCGTTTAACTGCAATTAATTAGCAACGATATAAGTAACTTTGTCCTGTCCTGAAATAACACCTCAGATTCATTTCCTCTGAGAGGACGCACTTGATAATAAAGTAAGGCGATATATTCTGCCTGTAACTGTTTACTGTAACATGTCGAGTTCACATTCATACATTTCTCTTCTGTAGATTACTACAATGATTTTAAGAAATATAGTTTTGCAACATAGATGTAAATTCCATGAAACACCTGTTTGTATTCTTCTAGTTCAAGTGTATTTTAAAGCAGAGTATATTTATTACACGTAATTCAAATGTGTAAGGGGGAAAAAACAGTAATATTAGGCGTTGTTACTAACTAGAAACATTTTGATATTAATAAGATGGATTTTATTATGTGTTATGTATTTAATATAGACTATATTATGTGTGACATATATCATATAGAGTGTTATGTGTGATATAGATACTTTTGTTTGTTGTTTAATCCCGCACTCAGCAATATTCTAGCTATATGTCGGCAGTCAGTTAAAATTCGGTTTCGACCAAACAATCCAGTGAATGATATCAAGCATAGTCACCTTTTACGGCAAGCATGGGTTGCTGAAGACCTTATCGGATCTTCATGGGTCGATATAGATAATATAAACTATATTATGTATGACATAAAACATTGACTCTTTTTTATGTGATATAGATAATTCAATCTCTCTTATGCGTGATATGGATAATAAAGACTGTATTCGGTGTGATATAGATACTATAGACGCTATTATGTGCGATATAGATAATATAGACTTTATTCGGTGTGATATAGAATATATAGACTGGATTCCAACATGACCATAGAACATCATATAGTCCATCTATGTAGTATCTGTTATTTTAATATCAGAAGTATTGGGCAGATAGGCACTTATTAACAACTGAGGCTACAAATCATCTTGTGAGACCACTGGTACTATCCAGAATGGACTAGGGTAATAATCTACGTATCACCATATCACCATCCGACAGGATCACTGCAACAACCTACAGCAAGTGCATAATACTGCTAGGCGACGTACCTGTCGATCTATGTGCGCGTTGAGCAGCCACCCGGTGGATGGAGGACAGCGCCTAAGAAATAGACGTTGGTTGGTTGTTGTTTAACGCCGCACTCAGCAATATTCCAGCTATATGACGTCGGTCTGTAAATAATCGATCCAGTGATTAATATAATGAGCATCAATCCACGCAATTGGGATCAATGACATGCATCAACCAAGTCAGCGAGCCTGACCACCCGATCCCGTTAGTCGCCTTTTACGACAAGCATAGTCACCTTTTACGGCAAACATGGGTTGCTGAAGACCTATTCTACCCCGGAATCTTCACGGGTCAGAAATAGACGTATTATTATTTGGCTTTATATTACGTATTATTATTTGGCTTTATATTGTGCGGTATTGATCATGTAACCACTGAGCTGTGTGATATAGACAAGATAGACTTAATTCCTTGTATTATAGTTATATAGATATGTTTGATTATGTTCGATTGTAAATATCTGCCCACAATACAGTAGCTATCTGCCCCTTACATAGTGAATACTTAACTAGCTCCCGTAAATACCAGAACCATTCACGAGTTTCATAAAATTAGTTCTACACGAGAGCGAGTTTAGTATTCACTATGTAAGGGGCAGTGAATCTAACATATCTATCTTAACTATTTTATTTAAAACGTGTTTAGAATTTCACTGTCGTGTGTGAATAGGCAGACACCTACACGACCCATAGCATAGTCCTTTTGTGTTGAACAGAAAAACAATTCAAACACGTCAAAAGTCGATACTTATTAATTTAATATCATACAACAGCCCACCTTCAGACTTCAGGGGTCCGCTCCACAAAGTTTTCGTAGCGCTATTTAACACTTTCGTAACTCCCATACTTTAACATTGACTTACGACTGTCATTGCGCCACGATCGCTTTGTGGAACGGGCCCTGCGCCACAAAGTTTACAATCACGTCACAATACCCTATGACGTAATATGTTGAATTTTGTTACAAGATCCACCGGCAAAACAATGCCATGTAACGTCAGCCTAGGAACAGGGTTGCTCGGGTCATCGATTGTGTATAAGCTCCTCTCAGTGATATATCACCTCTATACACAATGCCATCAAAAAGGCACAGGGAGTTTTTAATATTTGTTAGTGAAACTTGTTCCCGCAGTACATAACACGCGCTTTGGTATAACACAATGTGTAATACAGCTATACAGTGAATATATATAACCGATATATAGTGAATATCAGTCACTAAAGGGTAAATAGTTGCCCTCACTACATAATGAATATCACAGTTGAACATCATGCTATATACATTGTTGCAGTGTTCTATATCGGTTAGGCTTCATATCGTAGTTGTTACTCAAGAAGTAAGTGTTGTTTTCACTGATGTGGAGATAATGTCTGTCGAACTGTCACGCGAGAGTGTACAATACAGGGAAACCGCTGGTGGACACCTACACAATAGGCACCGTGATATAATGTGTGCAGGGTGATATGAGGTGTACTTGTGTGGGGTTGGGGTTGGGGGGGGGGGGGGGGGGGGGGGGGGGTTGTGTGTGTGTGTGTGTGTTGATGTGATATAAAGTGTACCTGTGTGTGAGGGGTGTTATATAGAGTACCCATGTGTGCAGGGTGGGATAAAGAGTACCCATGTGTGCGGGGTGATATAAAGTGTACCCATGTGTATGTGGTGTTATTAAGAGTACGCATGTGTGCTGGAAGTAATAGAGAGTACCCATGTGTGCAGGGTGGTATACAGAGTACCCGTATGTGTGCAGGGTATTATAAAGAGTACCCATGTGTGCAGGGTGGTATAAAGAGTACCTGTGTGCGAGGCATTATAAAGAGTACCTGTGTGTGCGGGTTATATGGAGTACCCATGTGTGCAGGGTATTAAAAAGAGTACCCATGTGTGCGGGTTGTTATAGAGAGTACCCATTTGTGGTGGGTGTTATTGAGAGTAATCATGTGTGAGGGGTGGAATATAGAATATCCGTGTGAGCGGGTTGTTATACAGAGTAACCGTGTATGCGGGTTGTTATACAGAGTAACCGGTATGCGGGTTGTTATACAGAGTAACCGTGTATGCGGGTTGTTATACAGAGTAACCGTGTATGCGGGTTGTTATACAGAGTAACCGGTATGCGGGTTGTTATACAGAGTAACCGTGTATGCGGGTTGTTATACAGAGTAACCGTGTGTGCGGGGTGATATAAAGTGTACCCATGTGTGCGGGTTGTTATACAGAGTAACCGTGTGTGCGGGTTGTTATACAGAGTAACCGTGTGTGCGGGGTGATATAAAGTGTACCCATGTGTGCGGGTTGTTATACAGAGTAACCGTGTGTGCGGGTTGTTATACAGAGTAACCGTGTGTGCGGGGTGATATAAAGTGTACCCGTGTGTGCGGGTTGTTATACAGAGTAACCGTGTGTGCGGGTTGTTATACAGAGTAACCGTGTATGCGGGTTGTTATACAGAGTAACCGTGTGTGCGGGTTGTTATACAGAGTAACCGTGTGTGCGGGTTGTTATACAGAGTAACCGTGTGTGCAGGTTGTTATACAGAGTAACCGTGTATGTGGGTTGTTATACAGAGTAACCGTGTATGCGGGTTGTTATACAGAGTAACCGTGTATGTGGGTTGTTATACAGAGTAACCGTGTGTGCGGGGTGATATAAAGTGTACCCATGTGTGCAGGTTGTTATACAGAGTAACCGTGTATGCGGGTTGTTATACAGAGTAACCGTGTGTGCGGGGTGATATAAAGTGTACCCATGTGTGTGGGTTGTTATACAGAGTAACCGTGTGTGCGGGTTGTTATACAGAGTAACCGTGTATGCGGGTTGTTATACAGAGTAACCGTGTATGTGGGTTGTTATACAGAGATACCGTGTGTGCGGGGTGATATAAAGTGTACCCATGTGTGCGGGTTGTTATACAGAGTAACCGTGTGTGCGGGTTGTTATACAGAGTAACCGTGTGTGCGGGTTGTTATACAGAGTAACCGTGTATGCGGGTTGTTATACAGAGTAACCGTGTATGCGGGTTGTTATACAGAGTAACCGTGTGTGCGGGTTGTTATACAGAGTAACCGTGTGTGCGGGGTGATATAAAGTGTACCCATGTGTGCGGGTTGTTATACAGAGTAACCGTGTGTGCGGGTTGTTATACAGAGTAACCGTGTATGCGGGTTGTTATACAGAGTAACCGTGTATGGGGGTTGTTATACAGAGTAACCGTGTATGCAGGTTGTTATACAGAGTAACCGTGTGTGCGGGTTGTTATACAGAGTAACCGTGTGTGCGGGATGATATAAAGTGTATCCATGTGTGCAGGGTGTAATAAAGAGTACCCGTGTATGCGGGTTGTTATAAAGAGTAACCATGTATGCGGGGTGTTACAGAAAGTACCTATGTGTATGTGGTGTTATATATGGTACTCATGTGTGGTGGTGTTATATAGAGTACCCATGTGTGCTGGGTGTAATAGAGAGTACCCGTGTGTGCGGGGAGATATAAGGAGTACCCATGTGTGCAGGGTGATATAAAGAGTACCCGTGTATGCGGGGTGTTACAGAAAGTACCTAT